CAGAAAAAAGACCACCTACCTTCCCAACATCTATATGTTTATCTTCAGATAAGCCATTTTTTTTCTACCATATCACCCTCAATGACCCTTGGGAAACCCACTCCCTTTGAACGTTTATGTATACAAGGCCCACATCAAAGGGGTATCATCTCTAATACATATAAACTCCTTATGGACACTTCTCCCTTATCTAATGACACTCACCATTACATGCGCAAGTGGTCCCAGTATTTACAATGTGACATTGATCTGACACTGTGGAAAGAAATTTGGGAAAACGCACCCAGATTCTCTGTAGCGTAGTTTATAAGGAAAATACCGTATTTTTCGCTCCATAAGACGCACTTTTTTCCCCCCAAAAAAGGGGGGAAAATGTCAGTGCGTCTTATGGAGCGAATATAAAGCGGCCGGTCCGGTATTTCTGCCGCCACCATGTCAGAATACCGGGCCAGCCGCTCAGCTGTTCTCTCTTGCAGGGCCTTACCTGTTCCTCGCTCCAGCGCTGCACAGTCTTCCCGCGCTGGCTTCTGTGACAGCCGGATGCCCACTGCGCATGTGCTGCGCTTTGTGAACGATCCGGTGTCTTCTGGGACACATGACAGGTCCCAGAAGGCGCCGGGCCATTCACAAAGCTCAGCGCTTTCTCGCGCATGCGCAGTGGGCACCCGGCTGTCACAGAAGCCGGCCTGGGAAGAAGAGGGAAGGAGAACTCCGCGGAAGTGGGAGCGAGTACCTGTCAAATTCAGGTACCCGCTCCCCTCCCTCCCCAAAGGTCAGCAGTCTCTGGTCATTCCCTGCACTGTCTGCAGTCTCTGGTCATTCCCTGCACTGTCTACAGTCTCTGTTTATTCTCAATGATGCTGGGCCTGGGACATTTTCTCGCTGGCCATAATCTGGCCCCCATAAAGTCTGAAGGACAGTAAACTGGCCCTTTGTTTGAAAAGTTTGGAGACCTCAGGTGTAGGGGAGCAAACTAAGCAACTCTGGCAGCCGACACTCCTCTTCTCTCTCTGATGATCTAGGATGTGGGTGGTCCTACCTAGACTCCTGCTGGACTTGCATTGTACGTGATGATGTCTCAGCAGTGCCTGTGATGGGTAGAGCAGTGAAGGAAAGTGGTTTTCATGGGATGTGTTCGACAATTGGAAGAAAACCTACAGCAACAACTATTAAGCTATGATTGCTTATACCTTTAACCTAGAATAATTGGCCATTGCATTGCAGAGGGGAAAGAATTACTGCAAGGATAATTTTTTCAACTACTGGAGTTGGGCTTTAAGGACAAAAATTCAGTTGTAAAAAACCTGTTACCAACATTAAACAATTAAATGATGTCTATGTATGCATTTTGTTTGAGAGTCTGTCAGCACCGTGGCACTGTTAGCAGTAAATTCTACAGGGATCAGTGCTTCTGATGATGTAAACGTTATTTTTATTGTGTCCATCTGAGAGCAACTAAGATCTGTTTCCTGTATCAGATAATCATCAAGTTAGGGGAATTTATGCTGATTGGAAAATATTATTCATGGATTAAAGTAGGCTAGACATTGTAGTGATATTTGTATACAGAGTGACTGTTTAGTTTGTATAAGGTATATTGCGCAACACACTAGAAAAATCTTTGCTGAACGTGATATATACAAAGAAATAATACCATGCCTAAGGCTAGAAATAGACAGGCAGATTTCCCATAGAGAAAAACAGATGCAAAACATCCGCCTGTCTTCAGGCATGCTTAACCCTAGCATGTTCTTCTGTGTAACTTGGCCAACTGATGGAAGTGGATCACTGCAATTGAATCACTTCCATCCATTATTCTAAATGAGACGGGAAGGATCAGCCTTGCTGTATGGAGATTTTAGTAGAAATTTAAAATCTTGATTAAGATACTGTGTGCCATTGATGGTAGGAGTCCCAAATTATGGGAAGATCTAGATGGCCCAATCTTTTCCTGATCAACAGTTGGGCAGTGGGATTGGTGTAGTATGGGGCTGTGCATAGAGATCTATCACTAGTTATTCAGCAAGGTGAATGAAGGGTTCTACTACACATTTACTATAAGGCTATATTCATAGGTAGGTATACAAAAATAAATACAGTTTTGTTGCACTTAACCCAATAAAACCAATTAAACCAAATATCCAGTACATGCTTATGTACACACAATTAATATATATAATATATCAAAGTTCAAAGTGTAAATTCTCTTCATATAATATTCTTTCTTGCAATATTTCAAAGATTCACAAACGGAAAACATAGTGCTCTTAGAAGTGTACAAGCAGTTCCCCCATATCCTATGGGTGTAAAAGGAAATCGTGTTTGCCGAAAACCGGAAGTGCGTCACCGAGCTCCACCCGGAAATGACACCAATGAGCTCCACGCGTTACGCCACTGTCACGTGGCTAGTTCAGGATCCTGAAGAAGCCACATGACAGTGGTGTAACGCGTGGAGCTCATTGATGTAATTCCGGGTGGAGCTCGGTGACGCACTTCCGGTTTTCGGCAAACACGATTTCCTCTTACACCCATAGGATATGGGGGAACTGCTTGTACACTTCTAAGAGCATGTGAGTTTTCCATCTGTCTTTTCTTTATAATAAAACTACATATTGCACTATGGAGATCTCTCTTTGTCCTTAAATCTTCCATGGTCCATGGACATATGGCTGAGGCATCGTATATATTGAGATTTTGAATCGTGGGGCAAGTTATATCCTGGTGTCGTTTTTGGAACATCATTTAAATAAATGATTTGTGACCTCTAGGGGTCGAATGTTGGAGGTGAGGAGGCACTCTGGATATTTAGGATTGATTCACTGGAGTGACACTTTGGTCTGAGCACTATTTGAATGAAGAAGCACTTCTATATATATTTTTTTTTCACAGAAGAGTGATAGCATGTTTTTTGCACATGATTATACTATATGTATATTGATTGTTATTTAAACACTTGGCACTTTTATGATTATTCATTGTGATTTTTATAATTTTTTTTTATATTTATTAAGACACTATTTATGTACCTAAGCACCTGGTCACTTTCTATTTTGTTGTGTGTGCACATGTATAACCAGTTTTAGCCACTTGGGGGCAGACTGGTCTTATATGAATTTTTATATAATTTTAACACATATATTATTTAAGTACTAGTCACTTTTACATATGTGTATAACATTTTGATTTTTTATAGCACTATTATAGCAGAGTGCTTCATCCAATATTTTGATATTTATTTAGTGTGTCTGCACACACTGTCAATACTCACCATTCTAGAAGTCGGGTACCTGGTGACGTCAGTGCCCCTCCCCAACGCGTTTGCGCCACAGGGGCACGTGGCTTCGTCCGGGGGATGTAATAGGACGATCACCTGCCTTGACTTCTTATATAGTAATACAGCGCCATTTTCTTGTAGCCCTTAATGTTTTAGCCATCTTTTTGGCAGCTCAATCCTCCCTAGGAATGGCTTAGGTTTCCTCCAAACTTCCAAAAACAGGAACATTGGAGGAGGACAGAAGGATTGTGTCCCAAAAAATGGTCAGTTCCTTCATGAGGGACAGTTGAGAACTAGGGTTCAAGATTCTGCCCTAGTAGTGTTGAAAGAATGAAATATAGGAGGACAAGTTTGGCTTTTCATCTTTGTTTATACCCCTGCACAAGGTGCCCATGTAGACGAGATGCTTCTGGTCAGATGCACAGCAATCACTTTCAGTGGCGCAAGGAGCTAGGTATAGCTGTTCTAACTACCTAAATAACTCTGTTGTTTGCAAATGTGCTAGTCTCGATCTGGATCAACAGCAGCCCTGGGACACAACAACTACAGCTTGCTTACACCCAAAACTGGCTTCAGATGAAGCTGAATGTCCACTTGGGTTAACTGAAGTGAAGCTAGAAGCCCAGGTGGCAATCTTGCATAACTGAGAGATAGTCTGAAGCCAAAAAGCTCAGTAAGCACTCATACCAGATTTAGTAGAGTGCATCTTGTCAGAAAAAAATGGAACCTGAACCCTGACTGAACCTGAACCTGAATGGTAGTCTACTGAGTTACCTCAAAATGGTGGAACAAGAAACTGAAGCATCAGTACAAAATCCATATTGGAAAAAAAAGCGGAAATAATGGTTCTGAAAAAAAAGTAGAGGCTGAGAGTCGGACTCCCCAGCCCAAACCACATTCAGCAATAGAAGGAAACTTCCTTTGGGTGAACTGGAGTTGGACCGAGTGACCTTATAAGGATGTCCTGGTTGGTTTAACATATAGAAATTATCCTAGGCAGGAAGATCTGGATCTCAAAATCACATTGTCATATGCAATACCATGAAGGGTCACCTTTCCTGATAAGTCCGCAAGTCTAGACACTTGCCTCCCCAAAGCGAAGTCTAAAAAAGAACTACTTCCGATCCCATGGAGTCACAAGGAGGAGTTGCATGAGGGGCCCTTATTTACAAGGTTCTTAATCAGAGAATGAGAGGCCAACATTCCCCAAGCAGAATAGAAATACGCTGTTGAATAGGCATCAACATTTTCTAGCTTTGCACTGGCCCTGTAGGTAGAAGTAGGTGGAGCTACTACCATATGTGTGCTGCCATGTCGGTGCCAGGAAAGCAGGTTATGCACAGCCTCCTAATGGTCATCAACACTGCACAACTGAAATCAATTAAAAGTGAATTAAAAACTGCTGACTTGCATTTGTAGAACACCACAAGCGCAAAAAAAAAGCCATTTATGTTTCTATGTACAGTATATATTTGTTGTATTTCTTTTAAATTGCACTGGAGTTATGTAATGTGATCAGTTTAAGTGGAAATTGTGCTCATGTCTGGAATTGACCTAACTCATTCATGCAATTATTTACCCCATGTTTTCTAATAAAGAACGAAAAGCTTTACTGATAAAATACAAAATTTAATTTAAAAACATATAATATATATTAAAAAAATAATAATATACAGTATAAGTTAAACATATAAATGTAAATATGAAAATGGCTTGTACACATAATTTATTTTATGAGAGCTTTCTTTGGGCTCTCCACTCTGTTGTTGTTCACATTTCCACACTTCAGCCAGCTGTTGCTCTTGAGTAAACGGGTGACTTTCTTTTTAGCGGTGCTAAATTCATACTGATGCTGACCATCAAAGAAATAAAGAAGTCCTAAAAAGAAAAAAAATGATTTCTTTTGTCCTTTTTAAAAATTAATTAATTTCATATTGTTTGCTCACATCGGTCTTGAAGACACTCTGCCAGACCCATGTGACTGCACTGAACTAATTAACATGCACTAGTGTTAACATGGGGGAGGAAGTGGATGAGTAGCATGCCCCCCCCCCCCCCATCCCCACACACACACTAAAGTTGCCCATAAATGGATCGAAATTCATTTGATCAATGTATGGACACTGTGGTTGTACAGAAGTTGATCTACCAATCAGTTCCTGTACAAACACCCTGCTGGAAAATTTCCTCTTGATCAGTGCTGCAGACTAAAAAAAAAAAATAAAAATAAAATTTCATCATAAATTTAGGCCAAAATGTATTCTGCTGTATGTATTCTTTGGTCAAAAAATTCCAATAAGTGTATATTGATTGGTTTGTGTGAAAGTTATAGCTTCTACAAATTATGGTATGTATACTGGAATTTGTATTTATTCATTTTTTTATACTAGTAATGGCAGTGAACAGTGGTTTACAGTGGATCTGTGATAGTGCGGCAGGCAATCTGACACTAACTGACACTGGGTGGGAGATTGACTAACTGACACTGACATCACCAGTGACACTAATACAGTGATCAGTGATAATACTATACACTGTCACTGTAATAATGACACTGGCTGGGAAGGGGTTAATATCTCAGGGTAATCAAGGTTAAATGTGTGCCTAACAACTGTTAAGGTGTGTAATATGTGTGGCTTTTTATTAAAGATCTGTTTGTTTCTTCTCCCTGCTTTGTTCCCTTTGTGAAGAGCCCTGTGTGTTTGTCAACACAGAGCTCTGAGCTGTGATTGGACACAGCCGATCTGCAGGTCCCTGACATGAATCATTGGCTGGGACCTGCTGACAATATCCTGCTGTGTTCAATCACAGCGGGAGTTGTCCTGAACCCGTAAGTCTGTGCAGGTATGTGATTTATGTCTGTACAAGCCACCCGCCCGCAGTAAATTGAGGGTGGCAGTCCTGTAGTAGTTAAATAAATGCTTGTCTTTATCATCATGTCTTTCTGCTGACTTTATAGGAAAAAGTGTATATAATATTGCTGTGACTTGTAAAGGATCCCTCAATAAAATACAGTTTTACTTTACTTACCATCCTTTTGGAAAGCAGCATGAACCTTAGTTCCGACGCCAGGGAAGCCATCAATTATTTTCTTAGGAGGTACAGAATCCAACTTCTGCTTTTCTTCATCAAAACTGCCAGAAAAATAACAGCAACGTTAGAATACACCATTTTTTACATTTTAATGAATTATTGTGAAGGTATCCTTTCTCAAAGATCCTCAAAGATGAAAATGAACATCTTCACAATGCTTATAGATACAGACGTGAATTAGTTCCTCAAGTGCTTTTACTACTTGTTCAGATTACGTAAGTACTATCTGGGCACAGGTTAACTTTAAATACTATAATTCATTTTATTTGATCCATACCAAGCAACACCAATTAAAATACATCCATAATTTTAGATGCCTACACTCTGGTCTTACCTCCAGAATTTGTCATCAACAAAGAAGTAGGTCTTTTCTGTGTTTTCATCATGGACTGCAGCGTCAATTCTCCTAACAGTTCTGGGGAATGCCCAAGTCATAGATGCTTTTGGGTGAATCCTTTGTGACTTCATAACCATTGATAACCCAATAATTAGCACCTAAATTAAAAAAAAGAATAGAATATTGGGTTGAGTAAAACATATTTTACCCCAATTATTATAAAAACAAACTTCATGCATTCCAGAATGCACTTTGCCATACATTATATTCAACAGGGGCACAAAAAAAGTAAGATTTTACAGACAAATAGGAAGTACACACCTTTGAAGATAAGAAGCCGGTCCTTTTCTTTGTACTCATAAGCAGCTTGAATATGATTTGGAAGGGCAGGCCAAAATGTTTTGATTAAATGATGCTCAGCCTGTGCATTCTGAGAAATCTGGCGCCAGAAAGTTCTAGAAAATACAAAAGGATTACATTATTAGTGTAAGTATTAAGAAACCACTACATGAATATAATCCTGCTACATTGTTTACAAATATCATTATCATGTAGTATTAGTATTAGTAGTAGTTCCATTGTTACCTCTTTTCAAACTCATGATGCTTTTATCTCTTTAAAAATCATTTTGTTTCCAGTCCCTTGAGTTATGACAGTGTGCTTACAGTCTGATGTGGTGGCCAAGTGGCAAAAGCTATGTGACATGTGATCATCGGAATTATGAAATATGTGAGCTCTCCATTGCTCTTTTTCATATACCTTATACTAGTAAGTTGCTATTTTGTAATTTTTAAAGTGTTACTAAACCCAGGACCCTGCATTCACTATATCTGGTCCCACAGTACACAGAACAGTAAATAAAAACTGCTAAATTCCTTTTCTCGTCAGCAATTAGAGCAGTCTTGTGACTTTTATCAGTGTCCAGCAGAGCACTGGTAAAGCTTGTAGGATGAGTTTTCTTTCTGCTCTAAGAGGAAGCAGAACCCCTGACCCTCTGCCCGGACAGTGCTGATTGGCCCTGTGCTGATCACATGCACTCTCCCAAGATAAAAAAAAAAAACCTCTCTAGCAATACACACCAAACTGAGTGTCTCCACATGATATGTCTTATCAGGAGATAAGAGGGGGACACTGGAAGACGGGGAGGATCAGAGAAGTCAGGATCAAACTGTCTTTTTACACAATACAGAGTAATAACCCCTTAGGTTCCACAGTGAGTATAACAAGCTTGCTTTACTGCATATACAGACTGATTTTAATGTTGTGGGTTTAGTAACACTTTAACTGAATGTAATTTGCCATGACAATCTCATTTTCCATAGACCCTCTTCTGTTTTCTTGATTCTTGTATTTCACATGCAGATTTGTAAATTATGTATTTAATGGTGTTAATCTGTATATCATCAAGGAATGTGAATTGCTAATTGACTGCTTAGATATGTTTACTTATTATAATCAACTTTCAATCAGGTCATATTCAGCCCATACGTTCACAGTGAGACAGAGAAACAGCAAAGCACAGCCATTGTGTAGCACATAAAAAGCAAACATGGCTGCATCCATTTAAATATACTTTATCATTATTTAGAAGCAATAAATTTAAACTAACACAGATTGTTCATGTTACCGTTATTGTAAACCTCCAACCAGGGGCGGACTGACCATTTGGAAACTCGGGCACTGCCAGAGGGCCCCATGAGATGCCCCTGGTACCTTTTTAATAGGCTTTTTTTTGAGTTTGGGCAAGGACACAGGGGCCCCACGATCCCCTATTGCCCGGGGGCCACATGAGTTGTCAGTCCTCCCCTGACTCCAACATGAAATATGAACAAAGCATATCCCTCTAAAGTATTTATTTTCTCAATTAAGAGCACTTAGCGTTGTTTCAGTCTGCTGCTTCTTTCCTCTGCTATCAGCATAAATCACTTCTGACAAGTTTTCCTGACACAAAGAGAGCAAAAGGTAACAGGGGAGGGACCTTCAGCTGAGGGTGGTATGCTGTGTGGAGGGGGTGTGTCGCTTCCCTCCAATCAGCTCTCAGAGCTTTCATCGCTGAACTCTGCAGTGTGTAATTTTCAGCTCTCTGCCCCCTTTTTTCTGAACTCTCGGACAAGCTTTATACATTCAGTACTTTGAACAGATGTAGAGAAGAGAAGACTGCAGATAAACAGACCAGTCACTTCACTGCATATATGTAATGTTTTAGAACCACTTTAAAGGAAATATCCTCTAAGGGAGTCAAGGAAACTGCTATTGCTGACATCTCCACCTAAAAACACAAGTTGCTTGTCTACCATACTGACCCTCTGGCTTCGATTCTGTCACTGATCTGGAACTAGTATGCAGAAAAGGGCCAGGGGTTTGGAGTATTTTGCAAAGTGGTTTAAAAATGAGCAGCCAGGTGTACTTTAAGCTCATCACATTCTCATTTACAATATATCTAAAAAATGTAAAAGGCATAAATACCCATTAAAGTTACAAACAATAAACATGGAAATCAATTTAACATTAAAGCTTACTTATTGGTGAAGAATAATATCTCTCCCCGCAAAGTTGTCACAGCGTCAAAAGTGATTGCCTGGCAGGAAGATGGAGTGCTTGGTGGTTGTGTAACCGCTGGGACCTCTCTGGCTCCTGCAATGAAGCATCAAAGCTAAATGTTATGACACAGCAACCTTTTTCTATGAATTGTAGAGTCACCCATTCACTTCCTAATAGAACCTGGTAGTGATTTTCCTTCTCTTACCATAGAGTGACTGAATTCCTCTAACGTCATCATCAGGCAGGTGAAATTGACTTGGTTCAATGAAGTGGTAGGTTGGGTACATGAGGGCGTTGGGATCGGTAGAGTGTGAGAGACCCAAAGAATGGCCAAATTCATGAGCAGCCACAAGGAACAAGTTATAACCTTAAATGATATAAAAAAAAATTAGAATGATCACTGTAAATTAATGTATTGTAGCTATAACATATCTAAAAAGTGAGCACCATTTAATGGCGTTAGTTAGTGTTCTCTATCTAAAGAAAATAATAATTTTTATTACATATCTATAGTCTTGAAGTGATTTTAAATATGTTGCATATTACTGAACAGAAAAAAACTCACCTTTAGATCCGCTAGTCCATGTTTCATCTTCATCAAAGTGAGCATCTCCTCCGATTCCAGTACCTGGGGCAAAAGCATGTGCCAGAGTTCCACGTGGACCATCAAAAGGATAGTGGTCATTGTGCACTGTAAAAAAAGAAAACATAAAATGTATCTCTCTATATGTTATATAGGAGTACAGTCTGACATGGTATGAAATTGACTTATGAATATACCTTGTGCTGCAAATGAGATCTCAATATCGGCAACACTGTTGTAAATTCGAGTAAAGGTCAGGGGGGTCGCATCACTCCAAACCTGGAAGGCTTTCTGGATAGCTGCATCCACCTCAGCAGTGGGCAT